GCATCATCTTTATTGACTACCTAGAAAGAGGAAAGACCATTAATGCTGTCTATTACTGTGAACTTTTGGAAAAACTGAAGAAAGAAATCGAAGAAAAGAGGCCACACTTGAAGAAGAAAAAGGTTCTGTTCCACCACGATAATGCACCTGCACATTCCGCCAGAATCACTGAACAAAAGATAAACGAACTTCGCTTCCAATTAATTCCACATCCACCATACTCACCTGAGTTGGCCCCCAGTGCCTTCTACCTTTTTTCAAACCTAAAAAAATTCTTGGCTGGAAAGAGATTCCACTCAAATGACGAAGTCATCTCTGAAGTGAACGAGTATTTTGCACACATTGACAAATCGACCTATTGTGATGGCATAAAAAGCTAGAACATCGCTGGAATAAATGCATTGATAACAAAGAAGCCTACATTGAAAAATAAAAAAAGTTTTAACATTATTTTGTTTGTTGTTCTATTTGAGGCCGCGAACTTTCCGAACAGCCCTCGTATTTATTAATACTAGGTAGCCAGTTAAAATAATAATTAAAGCTCTGGTTTTTACACCAAAACTGAAACTGAAGCTAAAATTGAAAATAAAGTCAAAATGAATTAATTTTAATTTAAATCAAAGCAATTGAAACATAACATTTCAGAAAGTGTTGATAAAGTACTTGTTGTTTTGATTAATTTGGCTATATTTCATCCAGGAAGAGTCAAGTCTCTGTTTATAGCAGTTTTTGTAAAGTGTTTGTTTTGGTTTTGGTTGGCTGTGACAAAACATTTTGCTTTTAATATTTATATAAAATGGATATAGATAATATAATATCATATTGCATTTGTAGGCATTTTTATGCATGAAATGCTGCTAAAAAGTTAAAAAAAAAAAAAAAAATAAGCTTTGTTTTGGAGTTCAGGAACAGATTAATCCATTTTACATTGTTTCTTATGGGAAAATTGGTTTTGGTTTGAGAACAAATTGATTTCTGAACAACTTTTAGGAATGAATTAAGTTCATAAACCGCAGTTTGACTGTAATTAGAAAATAATTTAGATAAGCTTAAAGATATATCTAGACAGCAAACAAATTGAATCTCCAATACTTCTTCTTATAGTGAATAAAACACCCCCCTCTTCAATAACAGATTTCTTTGAACACTTTTTAGAACAGAGTAATCATTTAGTTAAATGTCTAAAACAGAGCTTCTTAAACTTTTTCTATTTACAATCCCTTTTTCCTCAGAATATTTTATGCAATTATAAATATTGTAGATACATAAAATAATATTTTAAATATTAATAATTTTAAAATATAAATAAACATCTTATAGATATGTTCATTTTCAGGAAGAAGAACCAGTAATTAACCAGATAGATTTGGTTCCAACATTTTCTCTTTTATTAGGAATGCCAATTCCATTTTCCAATCTCGGGTCAATTATAGTTCCTTTGTTTGCTTCCTTATCTCATTACGGTAACTGGCACAAAAAAAATTTAGACGATCATCTGAAACAGCTGATGTTTGCAGTTTCGGCTCTTTCTGTTAATAGCAGACAAGTGCATCGTTACATCTCTATGTACAATCAAGAATTTAATGAGATTTCACCAGAATTGTTGAGAAGTAATCAGCTGAATCTTCAAAGACTAGAAAAACTAAAAATGGAATTAAAAACAAATATTATAAATAAGAATAACAGCCAAGTGCAATTATTGTTAGAAGAATTATATCAGGAATATACAGATTATCTACTTAATGTAAGAAGTATTTGTGAGAAAATGTGGGCAAAGTTCAATATCTCCTCCATGATTAGAGGAATTTTCATTCTTATTTGTGCCATTCTCACCAATGCATTTATCATTGTTGCAGCTAATTCAAAATTGTTATTGTTTGTGTTTAAAAACAATGTGATAATTTGTGCAATCATAACTCCCATTACTGTTTTTACTATAGTTGTGCAAATGGCTTCAATCAAAACTGCGGTTCAGATGGGTGCTTTCGGATATGCATTAGGTTCCGTTTTAATTACGTTGCCATGCCTGTTTAAAACCAGAGAGTGGAAAAATGGATGGAAATCCTTAACTTATGCAGATAAATTCTCCACATTTATAACACTGCTTTCTTTTTTAATTTCATTTTCAAACAGCTTTGTCATAAATGAGAACATGATAATAATTTACTTTCTGTTAACTATGTTAATAATTGGTTGTTTGCCTGACACAATCAATCAGTGCAGAAACAATCTCAGAACTAACAAATTGTTGGATATTGTATGGTATCCCGTACTCTTGTGTATGTTATTGATAAATGTCAGGATAGGAGGAGCATTTTTTAAATGTCGAGAAGAACAGTTGCCATGTAATTCGTCCTCTTTTCTGGTTCCTTTGTCCAGTTTTCCTCCGGAATGGCAGGATTATCGCACTCTGCGGCTGTTGATTTCCTGTATTTCTGTTGTCGGAGTCACGATTGGCTTGTGGTGCTGGTTCTATTACAAGAATCGTTTAACTTGCCACAGTCCAGCTTCTCTCTGTGCCCAGTACAGTCTGCCAATAGCAACACTGTGTATCTGCTTTTATTGGACATTGGGCTTAGTTTCACAGCAAGTGATAGATCAATTAGTTCAACAACGACAGGTAAGGTCATATTCTTATTATTTCAAATTCAGTTTGGATATAAAAATTTGTAATATTAACAACATAAAACGTTCTAGTTGTAACTAATTACTGTACCAGTAGTGTATTGTTGATAACCAAATTAGATTTATTTTGCAAAATAAGCATAAATTACATATTGCATTTAGAAATTCAATATATTACCATTAAAGAAATATAAATTTTTGTCTTTATTTCCAGGGACTGTTGCCTCAAACATCAATTGTGCTCTGTTGCATAACCATATTTGCATTATTTGTCTCTCCGCTGTTAGTTGGCGAAGAGCACTCTCTGTCGGGTGTGGGGACTTTATTTGTTGAATGTACGTACAGTTTAGGTCTCTTGTTATTTTCTCTGTTGCCTATGATGTTTTTGATAGCAGGTGATGGTTTGGCACCATCCATTGTACTTATTGTGTCGAGCATAATTTTATATTTATATTTATTATCAAGTTTTCAAAATAAAGAAGGTGAGTTATATAATTAAAAATTATAAAAATTTACTTTCATTTTTTACACATACAATAATTTTATTTTACAGATCAAATTAGATTTCCATGGCATACAATAGTCACTTGGAATTTATTTGTATCTAATGGATTTTTTATCACTGGACACCAATATTCCTTTACCTCTATTCATTGGCAGGCAGCATTTGTTGCTACTTCTTCTGAACTGACAAGCTACATTGTAGCTGGATTTTCTGTCATCTCAAATACATTTTCTTCACATTTTCTTCTAGGAATTGCTCTTCCTATGCTTCTCACCTGTCCACAGGCTTACAGAACATTTGGCCAGCATAAAAAGCTAAAGATTAATCTTCAGTCATTCCGTTTATCTCTACTGCAGTTGTTTTTGAAATACATACTGTTTAATGGAATCAAGGTTAGAAAATTTCTTTTATGTTTCCTAATTTAGAAATTTTACAAGTGATTGAGAATTAAGTTATAAAAAGTTTTACATAAATATAGAAATTAAGGAAAAATCAACTGAACTTCTATTTATATTGGATGAACAAATGTAAAGCTTACTCACAAAAAGATTGTGAGGAGTTTTGCATTACTACAAACTATTGTTGCTTAACTAACTGGTTACAAATCACTTGCTTCCAAGTATAGTGTTTCATGGAATTTTTAAGCACTTAGCTAAAGACACTGAATTATTTTATGGTTCCATTGTTATAGCTAAAAAAGTCAAATTTTGGTCTTAAAAAATAAGGCTTGTCTATGAGCTGATTATTTATTTATTTTGAGTTTAAAATTAATCTTGAATGTTTATTTACCACAAACTCAAGGTATATATGTTTATTTAGACCAATAACAATACAATGACAAGCAAGGTTGACAATGTCTCCAGTGCCAACAATACAGTGTGTCCAAGCCTGATTCATGATGTTGCCAAACTCTTTCTGCTACTTATCACAAATAAACTTATTGTTTGCTCACTTGGTATATTCAAATTATTCCTTTATTGAAAAAGAATATTAATTTATCATAAAATCCCAAAAACACTAGTTCAAAATTTCTGCTCATTTTGAATAGTAATTATATTGTTATTCTGATCAAGGTACAGTACTTGCAAGATTTTGTCTTGGGGAACAAAACACATACAATTTATTACGCTAATCAATCAATTAATTCACTAGAATTATGACCCTTAAATATAGATTTATTTCTAATTTTATTATCTTTATTTATAAATACATATAAAAAAAAAAAGAAGTAAACACTCCAACTAACCTATAAAAATGCAAAGTTTTCCATTTCCAAAATAGTACAGCTGTTGCTATTTATATAGTTTGAAGAACTTGACAAACCATTTTATTGTGTACGAACTATAATTGCTTAAGTATAACAAAAGAAACTATTAAAATAAATTTACTCTTACAAAATGCTATTGCTTTATTAAATGATTATTAGAAAAAGCAAAGAAGAAAGAAGAAAAAATAAACAAAGCTCAGTAGAGGCAACAGGCCCTTGCTTCTCCCTGTGAGCATCTTTCATTCTGAATCTTGATGTTTGAAAATTTCATTGGATCTAAAACATTATACAATAAAAATGTAAAGAAATGAATGAAGTATTTAACTTATTTTTTTTGGAACGAAAGTATTCATATAAAACACTGGTATATATGGTTATATAAGTTTATATTTACCATACATGTACTTTACATGAATATTTATATTTCTAGATATTAATATCATTTTCAAGAAATGACCTCAATATCTATAATATTAAGGTCATCATTTCTTGAAACTGTTTAAACAGTTTGTTTATAAGAGTATTTGTAACAGTTTTTATATTTAAAAATGATGAACAGTATACTTTGTTCATTATTTTTAAATTTTGAATGATACATTTCCTATCCTACATTTATGAAGGTGCTGGCTTCTCATCTTTTCCTCTAACACTCAGTGGTGCTGTTAGTTTATCAAACAGGTATATAGTGGTTATGTATTTCATTTCTCAAACCTTCAAAGATTCCTTTTTTCAAAGCTCACTATTCAGATGTAGTGAATCTGTGGATAGATGAATACATAAGCTTAGTCAATTCCTCTATTGTGAATACTTGGCAAGTCATTCAAAAAACAGAAAGTGACTGTACTCCCCACACTATCTCAAATTATTGTTCTTTGATTACTACTGTAAATATGTCTCTTTTGTGGTAACTGAAAAAAAAAATATCCAAAATATTTTTTTGAGTTAAAGATTTTGATATCCTTGGATACCGATGAAAATTCTTTCTCTGAAGATAGGCAGCAATTCATGAATACGTTTGTATATCTCAAACTTTTTAGAATTCCAATAAAGCAGTTATTGGAATTCTTAAAAAGTCTATGAAGTAAATATTAGAGTAAATTTAGTGAAGTGTCAATGTATTTAGATTTAAGATTTTATTTGTAACAAAGAGT